AATAAGTTGATAAGAATACAAAAATGAGTAACTCGTCACAGTTTTTTTCAAGTACTTTTATAGAAATGCAATGTCTTTAAGGTAAAGCACTATTTACAGTTACTTTTATGAGCGCTACATAATATAAGTTACCGGTTGCAATTATTAGCTGATGTGATCTACATGGATTCACAGACAGTCGATATGTAAAGCGCAGGATTTACATTCATAATCTAATAAATAGGTTTGAGCACGGACCACAGAGGAAAAAGAAACACGTTCCAAAATTGGTATCCTTATAATATATTAAAATAGTTTGATGAGTTTTAATAACACGACAATAAAAGACAATAAGTCTTTTATAACAGTTGTAGTATATGGATCCAGTGGCAATCCGTCTTACGATCGTTAGGCTCTCTTAATCACTAGAAAGTCAGCTCGTAACAAATACTGATGTGGACAAAGCCTAGAGTTTTAATAATACTAGACAATAAAAGACAATAAGTCTCTCATAAAAGTTGTAGTCTATGGATCCAGTGCCAATCCGTCTCACGATTGTTAGGCTCTCTTAATCACTAGAAAGTTAACTCATAATAAAAGAAATTGTAATCGTAAGAAACTACATGGTAAAGTCTTCGCCAAAACCTTCCTTCATTGAACGAATCGTGATGTATTACTGAAGTTGACTGATTTAACGAAGTTATGTTAAACTCTTCGTCAAAAACGAAGATTTGTCATTGGACATATTGTGATGTACTACTGAAGTTGACTGACTTAACTGGTCTTCGAATTTTCAGTATTTCAAGACTGCATAGATAACTACTTCCAACTGTATCTTTAGTTCTTATCTGAAAACTATTTATTAGCGAAATGATAATTCTGTATGAAGTTTACTTTGTAAATTCAATTGCTTGCAAAATTTCAATATTTGTAAAGATACAACTATATATTTTTCTTGATTTAGTTTAAGTCATAAATCCTTATAAATATTCAAATAAAAGTATATTAATTAATTTGTAAAAAGTTGTAGATACTTTCTGAACATTTGTTACTAAATTTATATTTAAATTATTTTATGCAACTATTTATCTGGGCTGTCTGATACATAGTCTGAAGAATTAGTATGCAGAATTGTACTCACTTCTCGTTAATTAATATGCAAAACTGAATTAATGCAATTTTGTAAAAACAAAAGCATCTAGGAAAAAATTGCATATAAGAACGTGTTAAAATGTCAATTAAATGATTTAACAAATGATTTAATTTCAATTATATATCAACTTCAGTGTGTGTACTAAATACCCTACAGCTTTGTGAAAGCTTTGTGAATAAAGTCTAGAACTAAATCTAGAGAAGAGTTCTTAATCTGTTCTGGTGACACAAATTCTTTATGAAACAGGTTTCTTCTGTGCGTTGTTAAAGCTGGACAGTCACAAAGAATGTGCATGGTCGTTTCCTCATCTTCGAGGCATAATCTGCATTCCGAGTTAGCAGATAATTGTAGTTTATGAAGGTGATATTTCAGACCATAATGACCTGTAATGAAACCTGTTATCAACCTTAAATTACATTTTGAGAATTTAAGAATGTCTTTGTAGGAGTACGGTGTTATCAGTGCTTTGCTTTGTCTGAGTCCTGGAAAGTTTACCCAGTACTCCAGCCGCATAATCTTAGGCATTACCTCAGTGTCGTTTTTAAGGTGCTTTGGAAACGTTCCACTAGCCCATTTGCTTGAGGGTGGTCGTGGTAGTTCGGTGCCTTTTGCACCCCAACATTTTTGCCAGCTACTCGAATCGTTTATATTTGAACTGCCATCCTTGGTCTGTCGTAATTCTTTTTGGCACGCCGTACTACGAGAACTGCTATTGCCGGTGTTGCCACTACAACTCTATTAACTGTTGGCATCAGTTTGTTGGCTTTTTATTTTAATTATTTTGTATGTGGTTTTACACAGGGGTTATTTGCGTATATTAAGTTATCTACTTTGGATGTAAAAATTCGCTGAGTATGAACATTTCAAAGTTTTTAACATAGAATCGTAATCAGCTAAATTCATTAGTGGGTATTTATGGAATTGCTATCTATAATAAGAAGAATACAAAGGTAGTAAAAAATCAGCTTTCAGTATTTAAACCAATAGTATTAAATATTTAAATATTTCTAAACTATTTGTGTTTGGCTATTTTTATGCTGTAGAAGATAAGCGAGAGTTTTGGGAATGACCATATGTGCTTGAGGTTACGTTTTATTATATTCTAAGAAAAATAAATAATATAGAGAAGTAACCGGTGTTTACAAAAAAAAAAAATTGACTGATATTTAAATCTATTTTGGCAATTGGGCATAAGTGAAGTCCTTATGACAAAGAAAAAACACAAAATTGTAGTATATACGATCATAACAAATTGCAAAAAAATAAAAACAAAGCTGTTATATATTACATTGTAAAGAAGTTATTAATTAAGCGGAAGAATCTAGAGGTAGAGAGAAGATAATCAATGTGAAATATATTACGTGTTTTTCTGAAAAAGTGAGGCCATAAACATTCCTGCAGACTCTACTTTCTTTGCGTTTTACTTTAAAGTCCATTATGTTATGTTCATTATTATGTTTTCATCTTTCGCTCACAGCGATGAGTAGATATAGAAACCTTTCGAAAACCTTTTGAAAACCTTTCAAAAGTAAACTGATATTATATTGCAAGCATCGATCTATAAAATCAAAATGCGTTAATTTGTTATCTTTAGTTCTATCAATGGGCTAATCTACATCATTCTATATATTCTATATCATTTAGTTCACTTGTATATAGTAAAATACAAATTTTACACAAATATTTTCTATAAATATTCTATTTTTTGTTATTATGAACCACACTGTTTTGCAAAATACATACATTCCACAAATTTTATCTGATATTTACTCTTCGTATTTATTAGCATACTTTTGTGCGCAACTTAAAACGGTTCAATAAGAGATTTTCAATTTTAATTCCAGATCTCGAAATTATAGACCCGGGAGTATGCGTAAAGTCCGTCGCCGGGCAGTGTTCAAAAATGGCGATTGCAATGTGTTACAGAAAAATTTAACCAGGCGACGTTTGCGATTCCTGCAGGATATGTACACAACTCTGGTGGACTCACAATGGCGTTGGACTTTGTTGGTCTTTGCTTTGAGTTTTATACTCTCCTGGTTGATATTTGCTGTTCTGTGGTGGCTTATAATGTATACACACGGTGATTTAGAGGAGATGCACCTACCTGACAATCAAGGTGAGGAATTTGCATAAGTGTTTATTATTAAATAAGAACAATTTAAATAGTTGCTATTATAATTATTTAAAAAATCTTTTAGTCTATGATTATTTAAACAAAATATTTTTAAAATTGAATTATATGTTTTATTAAAGAATTGTAATTTGTAATTCGCAGAGGAAAGTGGTTGGCAGCCTTGTGTTTCCGCCATTGAAGGTTTTACGTCCTGTTTTCTGTTCTCAATCGAAACGCAACACACGATTGGGTATGGTGTGCGCACTACTTCGCCTGAATGTCCCGAGGCAATATTTATGATGTGCTTCCAGTCTATTTATGGTGTAATGTCTTCAGCCTTTATGGCTGGCATTGTCTTCGCTAAAATGACACGCGCCAAGCAACGCGCACAAACCTTACTCTTCTCAAAAAACGCCGTCATCTGTCAACGAGATGGTTTTCTTACTCTAATGTTTCGTGTGGGTGATATGCGGAAATCGCATATTATAGGAGCAGCGGTGCGTGCTCAGTTGGTGCGCACACGCACTACTAAGGAAGGTGAAGTAATGACACAATACTTCACCGAATTAGAAATTGGTTCAGATGAGAGTGGCTCGAGTCTGTTCTTTATATGGCCAATGGTAATTGAGCATAAGATAGACGAGAACTCGCCACTTTATAATATGTCAGCAACAGATTTGCTGCAAGACAAATTCGAAATTGTTGTCTTACTCGAAGGCACCGTGGAGTCAACTGGACAGTCAACACAAGCACGTTCTAGTTATATTAATACGGAAATACTATGGGGTCATCGTTTCGATCCAGTTGTAGTGTACAATAAGAATTTACAGGCTTATGAGATTGATTATGCACGTTTTAATGAGACAACACAGGTGGATACACCATTGTGCAGTGCCCGCGAACTACATGAAATCTATAAAGTGCAGGAAGGCTTTCGAACGCCAGGTGATCAATGTTGACTCATATAATATTTAAGATAACTTATTTATATTTAATTTTATTTTATTGACTGAAATGTTTATTTTGTTTGTCTAGAGACAACATTTGCGATGCGCCAAATGTCCATTAATGCAAGTGACCATAATTCCTAATGTTTATGTCTCAGTATACATGCAACAATGTCCAGTATATCCCTATCTTGTATTTGTATTCCTTCATGTCATCTTGTGTTCGTTTTGTATTGTTTTACATATTAGCGTCCAATATTTACTTAGTTACATTGTCGTAAAATTGTGTAAGTCTACATTAAGTATTTAAGACTTTTAAAATAATTTACTAAATACAACTAATGTTTCATTTCATAGACTTTTGCACTTCAACATCGAATCTTCAGCTTCATCATCTACCAGCTATTCCTCTTATACACGTTTCTACTCCAGCTGACTTAACTCCCAGCAGTTCTGGTACATCTGGTACATCCAAAAACTCATTCATTGGACCTCCGTTAGGTCTCTGTGGGGGCCACATTCAATATAATAGTTCGGAGATATATCAACGAACAAATTATGATTTGAACTTATAATGCAAATAAAAATGTTAGTAATTTTATTAAAAACGAATATTAAAAATGTTTTCACGAATTCAAATTAATAAACAAATTAAATAAATAAATTTATTTAAGTAGTTTAAAGTAGCTTCACTTATTAAGAAGGGGCCAGTAAGGGGTCGATTAAGATTCATTCGGTGTTACCCTTTAAATATTTATATCTTATATTTTATTGTCCTCACCTTCAATCTATTTTTGTAGTTAGAAAAACAGAATATAATAATAAAGGAAACATAGCATTGCATTTAAGATAAGTCTTTCAACCCATAACTAACCTTTACCGAATAATAGACACTCATCTCTTTAAAATAAAGCCAAAATGTCTTTCTTGTAAAAGTTCTTAAATTGGTTTAGGCAAAGTGCTACAGTAGGGTGGCTCAGAAAAACTAAAATGCGATATTTAATGAGCGCACCCCCTAGGAATATGCCATTGACCAAAAAAATGATATTCCCAAAGTTTTGGATCAATAGGATTAAAAATGACGTTGCGCCACTCGAGCAAAGTTGGGTTTTCAGTACAAAAAACAGAAATTTTTCAATTCAAGGTCATTTTTTATCTTTGTTTTTTGTTTCAATAGTTACTAATATATACTCATTTGATAGATAATTGAAATATCTTTTTAATAAGATACTGATGAGCAAAATCGGTTAAAAATTATGCGCAAAATACAATGATTAGTTGAGCGACTGTGCTCTGTTTTCTATTTCATACCTTTTAGCTGGCATGCACAAGTACGTAATAGGTTGATGCTACGATTTAGTTAATTATTTATAAAAAATTATAATATCAAGAAAACCCTTTTTTTCAGTAATTAATATATTGTGTTTATTATGTTTTATAACATAAATCTGACTACGTGAAGGATAATTTTTATGATAATGTTCGACTACTTGCAGAACATATGTTATTGTTTTTCCTCTTCATATTTTGTCAAAATCGAATTATAATCCATCATAAGCCTAATTCCTCTTTCTATACAATCATTTATCATATGAAGTCTGGCACAGAATCCAAGTGCATCTCTATAATCTTGCGTCTCCATCCATGGCGAAGGATCGAAACTGATAAAACTATTAGATAGGCAAAAACGATCAAAAAATTTTTTATCCCTTCGGTCACGAAATCAATAAGATTCTTTGAGGAAAATAACTTCATTAGTGGGTTCCCACTCTTTATCTAACCAGAGATAGCTAGGAGCTTGGATCTGTGACCGGTAACTCTACAGTTACTATCTACGCAGATGGCTCAAAGATGGAAGGCGGTACGGGTGAAGATATCTTGTCGAAAGATATGCAGATAAGACAGTGCTACCGCGTCCCTGCTACTTACAGCGTCTTTCACGGCGAGATATATGCTATTGAAAAAGAGGTCAACATTAGACAAAAAAGTACAATTCGTCCTTCGAATATCACGATTTTTGTAGATAGGCCGCACGGAAAGCAATTGAATTTAAATTCCAAGATAGTATTAAAATGTCGCGATTCACTGATGGGCATCAAACATCATAAGGTCTCTCTTTGCTGGGCATAGTACATTTCGAATACTTGGACATAGCAACATTGAAGGGAATGAACTAGCAGATGAGATGGCCAGAAGAGGTTCTGAACTGCATACAGGAGAGGCCGACCTTTCAATACATACACCGATATGTAAACTGTATAGGATAATAGAGGAAATCAATACGGTGACTAACAATTTATAAACTAACCGCGAAGACTGTAAGGTCGCTAAAATCTTATGGCCTAAGTTGGACAAAAATAATACGAAAAGTCATTGCGCCGATGCTCCAACGGTGGCGAGTTCCAACAAGTGGATTATGCAGAAGTTGCTAAGATGAAGAGGAGGTAAAATCTATCAACCACTTCCTGCGTCTCTATCAAGGACTTCAAACAAGGCTACTTTAACGTCTTGCGGATCCTTATTTTACTGGCTTGGAAGAGATAACGAAAGCAAACTTATCGGATCTCCTCAACTTCATCTGGAAAACCAAATGGTTTAACAAGGATAACAAAGATTAGCAACTCGCATCTCCTGGTAAAATTTTTTGAGGGCATCCCAATGGGCAATATATGTCTCCGAGTAGAAGTGCTGACAACTGTCAGCACGTGCCTTCCGAACATAACCTTACCTAGTATGGGTTAAAATTTTCATACATATGCTCACCATAAAAATGTATATATCTCGTACAAATCATCCGAGTTATATGTAAATTGATCTCTTAAAAAAACATTTTTAGTAAGTACATGATTTTCGCCATCCATCGAGAATCTTAGATGGCGCCTGGGCGCCACAGGTAACCAGGTAACTACTACAAAATATGTATAGCGTAGCGATCCGAAACCTTGCATTTGTCAAGGGCGGAACCTAAACTAGGAGTGATAAATTGAATCGTTGTGTCTGCGTTATCCCAATTTTGTTGAACTGTGACTAAAGATTCAGCTTCCATTTTGAGACAATTTCTTCATCGAATTTATTCCAATTAAAATCAATGGAATTTTTAGCCGCTCTTGCTTCGTTTGCTAAAAGGATATTAACTTCAGTCATACTCCCTGTACGACCATTTTTTCTTTGCTTACGAAAAAATTCTTGTTTTGACTACTTTTTCAATTCTACTTAAATATCTATATAAATTATTAAGTAGAAATGTATTATTTTTATTTTTTATTTATGTTTCTTCCGTTTCTTGTAAACATTTGCGATTGCATTGTGCATGCCAGCTAAAAGGCTATAAAATAGAAAACAGAGCACAGTCGCTCAACTAATTATTGTGTTTTGCGCATAATTTTTAACCGATTTTGCTCATCAGTATCTTATTAAAAAGATATTTCAATTATCTATCAAATGAGTATATATTAATAACTATTGAAACAAGTAACAAAGATAAAAAATGACCTTGAATTGAAAAATTTCTGTTTTTTGTACTGAAAACCCAACTTTGCTCGAGTGGCGCAACGTCATTTTTAATCCTATTGATCCAAAACTTTGGGAATATCATTTTTTTGGTCAATGGCATATTCCTAGGTGGTGCGCTCATTCAAAACTTCATTTTTAATTTTCCCCCTTATAACGTGAGCCACCCTAGTGCCCCTAAACAGGGAACAGATTGCACAGCTACAGGAGGCCATAATTGAGACTGCCATAGAGTTGGCGTCAGACGAGGTTAAACCAGAATTTGAAGGGTGTTTCCCTCGCACGGGATGGCTCATGGTGGTGTGCACAAATAACCAAACGGCTGAATGGGTCCGTAAAAATGCGGCAGCTATTGCAACAAAGGCTAAACTGGGCGCCAAAGTGGTTGAAGATTCGAAGTTCCCAAAAACACACCTGGTGCGAGGATACTTTCCGCACAGTTACAATTTTGAAGACACCAAGGTTCTTGCCACAATTGAGGCCCAGAACAGGATAAAAGCAAGCACATGGAAAGTATTACAGCGGACTGCAGAAGGTTCACTGCTCTATATTGTCTTTGCTGTCGATGGTGCATCCTGGAATTCACTGGTCCAGAGTGGAGGTAGAATAGCGTACCGCTTCAGCCATGTCAAGCTACTGCTCAAACCTAACAACATGACAAAGGAGGAGCAGCCGGAACAACGGCCTGTGGAACAAAAAGTTTCAAACAGAAAGTGGAGCACGTGGTTCCACAATCAATATCTACGTCTACTGTGACTCCCAGTGAGGCCCCAGCTTCCAGTAGAGCCGCCGTCCAACAGAGGCTTTCGATGCGACCACCTGTGGATGGAGCATCATCAACTCCAAAAGAGCGCCGGAATGGAAGAGGAACACGCAGAGCTCGATGGCAGAAGAAAGTCGAACACTCTCTTAATAAAACCCAACTGAAATGAGCACCATAGGGTTGCTACAGATGAACCTGCACCACGCGAAATGAACATCGGCTCCTTTCAGAAGGAAGTCGAACACTCTCTAAATGAAACCCAACTAAAATGAGCACCATAGGGTTGTTACAAATGAACCTGCACCATGCGAAAGGAGCATCGGCTACTTTGTGCAGGACCTTCGCCACAAAAGGACTGGCCATAGCGCTTATCCAGGACCCATGGGCAGTCCGTAGGCATATAAAAGGCCATCAGCATCAATCAAGTAAGTTGATATATAAACGTGACATAGAGTCGCCTAGAACTGCTATACTAATAAACAAAAAAGTTAACTCTATTCTAATTCCAGATTTCATCCAGAAGGACGTAGTCATAAACTTGGTTAGTAACTGCAAATCTAGCAATTTACTATTTATAATTGGTTGCGACGCTAATGGGCATGATACCTTATGGGATAGTACTAACATAAATAGAAGAGGGCCAATGCTTTTAGAATACTTTAGTAGTAATAACATCAGCTTATTGAACAATGATTCTAAACCCATATTAATTAATGCCATTAGAATTAATGCCACTCTCATCCTTCCTCCTGAAAACCATGGAGAGACTCATAGATATCTATATTCGTACAGAATTGTCTAAAGTCATCCTTTTCACAAAACTTAAATCGCTTACTCCAAAGGGAAACCTACCAAATTGGCTGTACAAAACCTAATCAGAAAAATTGAAAAGGCCCACAAAAACAAAGAAATTGCGCTTTGTGCATTTCTAAATATTGAAGGAGCGTTCGACAATACGACTT